CAGCATCAAATAAACACCGGTGATGTAGCTCCTATAGTATGTCCACCCTACAGGGTCACAGGGAGACCCAATGAATGTATTGAAAGGGAGATTAAAGAAATGTTGGACCTAGGTATCATTGTTCCATCGATTAGCTCTTGGGCTTCACCCATAGTATTAGTACAGAAGCCAGACAAGACAATTAGATTTTGTGTAGATTATAGGCAATTAAACAAGGTAACCCAAACAGATACTTATCCTATGCCATGTTTGAATGATTTGCTGGAAAGGATGGGGAAGGCCAATTTTATTAGTAGTATAGATCTAACCAAAGGATTTTGGCAAGTGCCCATGGCACCACAGGATCAACATAAAACCGCCTTCCGGACCCAAAATCGGCTATTTGAATTTTCCGTACTTCCATTTGGGTTAAAGAACAGCCCAGCCACATTTCAGAGATTAGTGGACAGAGTTTTAAGTGGGCTGGGGTCTTTCTGCGTGGCCTATATCGATGATATAGGGATTTTCAGTGATTCATGGGAAGCTCACCTTGAACATTTGGATCTGGTATTAAGTAGGTTGAGGGAAGCAGGGTTAACTATTAAAGCTTCCAAGTGCAAGTTAGGATACAATACTACCAAGTATTTAGGACATTTAGTGGGAGGAGGTTGTATTTGACCTGACCCTACTAAAGTGGCAGTTATTCACCAGTGGCCTGTGCCCAAAACAAAAAAACAGGTTAGGGCACTCCTTGGATTGGCTGGATACTATCGTAAATTCATTCCATCTTTTAGTGATTTGGCAGCCCCTCTTTCGGATCTTACCAAAAAGAAGAACCCGAATCAGGTAATTTGGACTCCAAATTGTCAAACTGCCATGGATCAATTGAAGAAAGCCATTACTTCGGATTCGGTCCTAATTGCGCCAGATTTTGATAAACCTTTTATTCTAACATGTGATGCATCGGATACTGGGCTAGGAGCTGTCCTAAGCCAGTTAGATGTAGAGGGTGAGGACAGACCTATTTTGTTTTTGAGTAAAAAATGGCATTCCAATGAATATAACATGTCAATGATTGAAAAAGAATGCTATGCCATCATATGGTCAGTAAAAAAATTAAAGCCATATTTGTGGGGGAGAAAGTTTACCTTACAAACGGACCATGCTCCATTAAGATGGCTAGATAATGTAAAAGGTACGAATAACAAATTATTGAGATGGAGTTTATGTTTACAGGATTTTACATTTGAAATTAAACATGCTTCAGGTAAACGAAACATAGTCGCAGACGCCTTATCTAGAATTTCGTATGGTAAAAGGTTTGTATATATGCATTATAATATATTTAACCATATTGTGATTGCCTTTCAGAAATATTGTGTATTTAGATATTGTTGGATAATTTGTGGAATTATTTTTGCCCATTCCGGGAGTGAGAATGGCCCAAAAATAATTTTTCTGTGGGGGAAGGTGTACAGGAGTTGATTATAAATTGTATGATTTTAACTGTATTTGTGTTTAGATTGGCTGCAGTAATGCTGGAGCGGCCTAAGTCAGAGGAGTCCTCCATGGGCGTTGCCATGGAGACCGATGCTGGAGAGAGGGAAGTGGGAGGAGCTTAGCGGGGAGAGTTTGAACAAACGACAGTTAAAAATCAGTTAGGGTTTAGGTTTAGGGGAGTGAGCAGTCAGGAGTTAGGTTTAGAGGAGTGAGGAGTTAGGAGTTGGGAGAGAAGGAAAGGAAAGGTGGGAGAGAAGGAAAGGAAAGAAAACAGTGTGCTGTTTCCCCCCGAGTATTACAGGTTCCACACATATGTGTCAGTTACAACTCTTTTTTTCGCCCCTCCCCTCCATTTCCACAGTTGACATTTCACCTCTCTTGCCTTAGGTTTGTTTCTTTGGAAAGCAATACCTGTCGCAAGGTGGGGCATTCGCAACAGTTAGTTGCAAACCCCCGTTAGGTAATCTTGATTGTGTCTGATGGAAACGTCTTGGGTAAACAGCATCTTGTGTACAGGGCCACTTGCTCAAGAGGCCAAATGTTACATTACCCTTTTGCACATGGGGTGTTTTGGAAATTTAACAAAAAAACAACCTTATCAGATAATGTTAGGTCAACCCACAGATTGAGTCAATACTGAAAAACTATTCTGATTTCTGGGTTGTTGGGAGCTTTCTGGGCTGTATGGCCATGTTCCAGAAGCATTCTCTCCTGACATTTCGCCCACATCTATGTGACAACTTCACAACCTCTGAAGATACCTGCCATAGATGTGGGTGAGACGTCAGGAGATAATGCTTCTGGAACGTGGCCATACAGCCCAGAAAACTCCCAGCAACCCAGTGATTCCAGCCATGAAAGCCTTCAACAACCCAGATTCTGATTGTGAAGCAAAACTTTGAGGCTTTGAAAAGCTGGGTTTGGCTATTGGAAGTTTCTCAGGCTAGTGCAGCCG